CCTCCCAGCGAGGTCTCAGCTGAGGACGGCTTGCAACTATGCACGCAGTAGGTGCTCTCTAAATGAAGCTGAAATACAGTGTCCCTAGGAAAAAGCATAACTCCACATTTCCAACTACTCTTTCTGGAGGACAAACATTGCTACTAAGCACCCAGAGACTCAACTAAACCCCCTTGCAAAAATAACCTGGATCTCCTGGGAGGACGCTCACCTTGGCAAACAGCTTCCTGGCCACAACAACATAAAGATCCTGGAACTCCACGCCTGGCTAGGTATCCAGGGAAAGTGATATGTCTGAGCTGCCCTTTTGCAACCTTATTTCATAATCTACCTCCTTATTTACTACCTCACAAAACCAAAGAGAAACCGGTACACACTGTATCGATGAAAGATCAAATCTCGATTCTCAATGACAAAGGCAAGTATATATTATAAATAGCAAAACAGCTGGCTTGGACCATGGTGTCGGCCACTCATCCAGTTGAGGGATTGGAATGACATCATAACCCTTGAGAGGGTACTGCTAGCCAGCTGGTGTTATTTAGAATACACAAAAATTGGAGAAAGAAAATGCACACACTCATAGGTTGAAGTTATGCAGAAAAATATGAACACTTGGAAAATAATTTGCCCCCCGGGTGCCCTTCCCCTGTGGAGGTGACAGGCAGCCGAGCAGAGGAAGGAAGAAAAAGATTTTATTTTATTTTTTCAGTTGGCTTTAAACTCAGCAAAGTCTTTGCCCTGTCGTGGGCAAAAAGCATGAGACAATGTCCTAAAGGGAGCCAATTGCATGCTGCCTGCCCTTTTTCTAGGTTCTAGGAAATGAGATCATTCCCTTGCTTGGCAACTAGGACGAGGGGTCGCCCCAGGGCTGTTTACCAATTTAGTTTGTCCCGGTCATTCCAGGGTTAAAATCACCGGGTCTGCGCTCGAGGTGGTCTTGTCTTCATTTTTTTTTTGAAATGTTGCATTTGCTCTACCATGTAAAATTGCTCACCCCTCCCCGTGTCTATGCCTTTAATATCGATAAGGTGTGTGAGCAGATGTGTGTGTGTGCGTTTGTGTGCGTTTGTGTGTGTGCGTCTCCGTGGCCGGTAGAAAGTTAATCAGAGAATAGATTCTTATATTCTGTGGCAGCACCAGTGTTTTAATGTCTGCTAACCCTGTCACTAACACACATTCTTTTAAGGGAAAAAAATGCTTCTGTGCTCTAGTTTTAAAATGCAAAGGTATGATGTTATTTGTCACCATGCCCAAAAAAGTCCTTACTCGATAACTTTGCCAGAAGAGGGAGAGAGAGAGAAGGCAAATGTTCCCCCAGCTGTTTCCTGTCTACTGTGTCTGTGTTTTGTAGATAAATGTGAGGATTTTCTCTAAATCCCTCTTCTGTTTGCTAAATCTCACTGTCACTGCTAAATTCAGAGCAGATAGAGCCTGCGCAATGGAATAAAGTCCTCAAAATTGAAATGTGACATTGCTCTCAACATCTCCCATCTCTCTGGATTTCTTTTTGCCTCATTATTCCTGCTAACCAATTCATTTCCAGACTTTGCACTTCAGAAGCAATGGGAAAAATCAGCAGTCTTCCAACCCAATTATTTAAGTGCTGCTTTTGTGATTTCTTGAAGGTAAATATTTCTTACTCTTTGAAGTCATTGGGGAATTTTATTTAAATTGTGTACTGTTTGCCTCTGCCTAGAAATGTTATTCACTTTAGAATTTTCATTGTTTCGGAACTGGGAGTTATTTATAAATTGCTGAATATGCAATTCTGTGGGATCTGGAAAAATAGCTCCGGGAGATGAATGCCTTTGCACAGATATCTGTATGAGAGAAACTATTGCAAGGTACTTGTGATAAATCCTCCACTTCTGCAGGGCTTCAGTGGTGTTATTATAGAAGATTCCTTTAAATCCTCGCTATGGTTAAGGGTTACAGAGCAGAAATACGAACTTTTGGACTTGGGGCTTTTTTTTTTTGCAGGTGCAGATGTTTTATTTTTAAGACTGTGTCCGTGTGTATATGCACGTGTGTGTGTGTGTGTGTGTGTGTAAGTTGTCAGGACTTTTATTATAAGGCATGCCTCATACAAAGAGTTACATGTAGATTATATTAAAGCTTTTAAGTATGATCTTTGGAGCTAAGGTCCCGGAACTCTCTGCACTTAATGCTCAGTTTAGTGAAGTTTAATATGCTCTTGTGTAAAAGAACTCCTTGACAACTCTTGCTGACCTTGCATATTCGGGGAATTTAAACAAATGCATACTGTATATGGAAAGCGGAAACTTGCTCAGCAACGGCTTGTCCAACTTTTCTCTTTTGAAAAGGACTTTCACGAGCGAAGTTTGGACTCGGGGATATGTGTTGTAAAACTCAGATTTTATGCTTGGGTGCTGTAAAGTCTCTTTAGGTGAATTTGGCTGCCGCTGTCAATAGACCAACTTCTTGTTTTCAGTCACTGGCTCTAGTTTAAGTTTCCATTCTCAGCAAAATTCTATCCTTCCAAACTTGTGTTTTTCCAATTTGCAAGCACTTTTAAGCTGCTGTCACTGGCTCTCCTATGCAATTGCCTGAGTGCTCAATTCATAAAGTGTCTCTGCCACTCAGGACAGCATTCATTCGCTGCTTTCAGCTACTCTACCGCTAGGATTTTTTCCTAGACAAATAAGTGACTTGGGAGTTACAGATACAACCCTGTAAAGCACCTGATATTGCTGTCCTTGAGATGCCAAGACAGATTGCCCGCCACCTTGCTCTTAAAGGAAATGAAGCCAACGATGCAAACCCATGCAGATTATGTGGTTTAGCAGCTGGGGCTTCCTTTCCCTGTTTAGATGATGGTGAAAGAGGCTGCAGGTTATCTTGCATTTATTCTAAGTTTGGAAAACTGTCTCCAAGTGCACTTTGCATGCTGTGTGTGCTGAACTTTTTTTTTTCGAAGGCAAGCTGGCAGTAAGTTGTTGCTTTCTCCTGTGCTTAGAGTAGGAAGGGCTTTGAGGGAGCTGCATGGTCTTTGAAATGTAGTTCTGTGAATGAAGTTGTCCTGCCTGGAGCCTGAACTCACATGCTGATTGTACTCTGGGTCGCAAGGTATTTGCAAGGGTTTGAGTCAGAGAGAAGATGATAGAGGACTGAAGCTTGGGTCACTGTCCGAACTGGCCAAAATGAGCACACAATGGAGACTGGTGCCTTGATTGGGGTGGGGGGGGGAGGAGGCGGGAATAGGTTGACTCAAATCCCAGCTGTGCAATTTGTTTGAATGGACAAAAGACAGTTTACACAGCCTCACAGCATACCTGCCAGGATGTCCAAATGTAACTAGATGCTTTTCACAAACTCCACCCACCAAGCAGCACATGTTTTTAAGTCCTCAGTTTTCTATTCACAACAGTCTCATAATACCCACCCTGACCTGCTGTAAAAGATCTGGAACAAACAAAAATGGTTACACCTACAGTGAGTATTTTCTTATGACTCTTGCCCTCAAATTTTGCTGGGCATTTTTGTTGTTGCCCAGACATCTGGATTCAATTGTTTTTTACTAATTTAAGATATAAAAAGAAAGGTCTTTTAAATTTTGGCTACGTGAATGACTTTTTAGTGAGTGCTCTCAATTTTTTTTCATTTTTTCACTTTTCTTTCTTTCTGGTTCTCCCTACCTTTTCCACTATTGGATTTTTCCTTTCTGTCACCTCAGTGCTTTTGTATAGGGCAAAATAAAAGGCCAGGGGAGTAAAGAACATATGGGACCCCTTCTTTCAAGATTAACTCCTAGGCAAATTCATTATTGTTTTTTTTTGGGGGGGTGCATAATGCGATAAATTCTCTGGTCTCTCTGGGTGTACTGGACTGTTCCATGAATTAAAGGAAAGTGTACTGAAGGTTCTATTTGTCCTAGAACTAGTGCTGATATTTATCTGGCAACATATTTGGGGGGGGGAGGAGTCTATAAAAATCTTACTTTCTTAAATGTTTATGATTTATATTGTTGAACTGAATTGTGTTGCATCAGGAAAAACTATTAAAAATATAGTTTGAGCATCTAATGAAGTTCTCAATTCACTAAAGCTTAAGGTGAATTAAATTTCCCCCCTGGATTTCACCAGCACTGAAGAACTTGAAGGCAGGTACTTGGCCTTCAGCATTACTATTACTCCACAACAAGAAGGAGAAGTAGGAGTGGATGATGTATATTCTAGCACTGACCACTGACCTATTGCCAGACTGTGGGTGGATGTGCAACAATGTCAGACCCAAAGAGTTTGCTCTTTTGAAAAGAGCGATGAAATCAAGGTGGATTGGATAGATTGCAGTTGGGAGAACTCCACTCCATATTTCAAAATTGGACACCCCCCCACTGACATTTATTTTATTACTCTGAAAAGTGAGCACAGGATGATCGCCTGGTCCCCAGTGGCTTTGGCTTTGACTTTGGCTTTATTGAGGGTCTTATGAAGCAAATGGAAGAAATGTTCACCTGCTAGTCTGTTTTTTGTTCATTGTTTTTGATGATTTCCAAGTAGAGGATGCTTTTCATCTTGTACTGTTTTACAGACATTAACTAAATATTTACATTATGTTAACCAGAGTCAGGGGACTCAGGGTTTATTCCTAATTGCTGAGTTGAAGAGTTAGCCACAAAATAAAAGTGGAAATCTTAATTTAATTGATGTAGCAACTTTCCCACTGAGGGCGAGCCAGGGCATTGAGAGTTCATAAGGGTAAGGGGGTGACTAGAAATAACTGATCTGTTTCTCTAAAGGTGATGGGGTTGAATGGACCTGCCACACTGTAAGGTTCCCAAAAGTGTCTTTTTACAGTGACAGCTTTCCACTAAAAGGTAACTCTGTGACCGTGTCAATAGGGCTCTTCGCTTAAAAATCTTAGTAGAGACTCCAGTGTTGCTGAAAGTACATGCAGGTGAGAGAATGAAGCTACTCATCTTGGCACTTTCCCCAAAGAAACCACATCTTGATGTCCTAGGCAGTAAAATAGGAAAAGGAAACACCTCCTTGGCATTGTGTCTCCCTGTTAAAGTCAGGTGGGCTTGAGTCGCAGGAAGCCCACCTCGGTCAGGAATGCCAAGTCACGCCAACCAAAAGTTTCTTGGTATGTTTTGCTATAAGATGAACACAGTGACATATAAGTCCCTCAAAGAGATGAAGTCAACATTCCTTTGAATACAAAAAAAATTAATGCAGACTTTTGCAGGTTTTGAACTCAGTGCCCTGTTCATGGAACATACTCTCCACGTGTGTTGATTTGATATTAAACTTGACACCAGGAGCTTTTGTATGCAGAAGGAGCCAGATCTACTTAGCATGGGCCAGTTGCATTTCTATATCTTCACATTTCTCTTGTATGTGTTTTTTCACTTCCACTTGTGGTTGTTTAACTATTGATATTCGTCAGGTAAGAAATCTCTGTGTGTCTATTGGTCTTTCTCAATTACTCTTTGTCTCTCTATCTCTCTGTCATTATCTCTTTCTGTCCTTCTCATTTTCTCTACTTAAGTGAAGAAAAAAAAACAAGCCTTTAACACTACATAGCATTTTTACAAGTCCTTTTTTTTTTTTTAGCCATAGTAAATTCTAACTTGGGGGTGATGTGCTGGTTAATATAATATTCTGGACAATAATGATGGCATATACCATATGTGGTTGGTCAATCTTAAGGGAATTTAAATAATAAAACCTATTTGGTCCCAAGTCTGGAATGAGCACAATTTAACTCTTGATAACGTGAAAGGTTGACCAGAATCTTGGAATAGCATGGGGTCCCCTCGCAATTACATCACTGCCTCCTTCCTAATAAATGGTTCTAGCCCTTTTGTCTCACTGAGTTGAGTTGTAACAGGAACCCATCCAGGAGTTCAGGACGGACTTCTCCAAGGTCCCACAGTCCAAGGGGATTAAACGCAGGTTGACTGAAGCCAAGTTGTGCTCAGGCCATGACACCCCACGGTTTCTCAGGCACTGGGCTGCTCTGAGCGCAGGGGAGCCCCGCTTAATGATAGGCCTGGAACACTGAGGATCAATTCACCCCTGCTCTCCCCCTGTCCCCTGACAAGGACCAAGAAGGAAACGTGACCCTCCTGTTTCTCCGGCAGGTCAAGATGCACAGTGTGTCCTCCTCGCACCTCCTCTACCTGGCCCTGTGCCTGCTCACCTTCACCAGCTCCGCCACGGCCGGACCGGAGACGCTCTGCGGGGCCGAGTTGGTGGATGCTCTTCAGTTCGTGTGTGGAGACAGGGGCTTTTATTTCAGTAAGTAGCCCTCCCTCTCGCTGCTCTGTGGATTTACAACCGCAGGGAGTGTGTGAATAACTGAATGGCTGCCCGAGCTGGCAGCCGGCCTGGGCCACTGAGATTCCTCACCTTAAAGGAAACAGTGTTTCTGCTGGGCTGGAGCAGTTTTTGCAGATTTAGGATGGAATTTTCCTCCTTAGCCGGTTGTCTTTTAACGACTTCCTGCTGAGCTTTCCCACAACTATCTACCCTCCCCATTTTCAACATTTCCGTGCAAAGAGGGGACAAAATAACCACCCTGGGGGTAGAGGTTTAGTCTCTGAGATCTGGTGGGCTCCAATAAGCACATGGGAAATAGGCCTTTTTTTTTAAAGATTGATTTATTTATGCATACAGAACTGGGGTACAGGTCAGAGGTTCAGGGACAGTGAGAGGATTCACCAGAGACAGAGTGGGGAGCAGAACAGACTGACTGACGATATACACTGCTAAGGGAAGCAGCGGGTGGGTCAAGGGAGGTCTGCTGCACCATGTGGGTCACCTCCAGGGTGGGGATCGAACTCATGCTGACGTGGCTTTAGCTTCTTAGTGCTGTGCTTTAACCCGCTGCGCCACCAGGGAGGGCCTGAAACAGGTCTGTTTTAGGTGCTTATTTTTTGGAGTAAAAAAGTAAGTTCTGCCCCATTCATAAGGACTTGGAAACAGAATGAAAGGCACTTGCAGATGTCTCCCAACAATGTGAAATCACCCTGAACAGATGGAAGGTGAACTCATTTCGAGGCACCCCTTAAACACCTGGGTTCCTTCTCAATGCAAACTGAAGTGCCATGCCAACTTGGCCTCTCTGCCATCAGACTTTGATTTTCTGTTACTACTTTCTTACTCTGGGGTGCTCCCGTGATGCCTCCATCTGGAAGGGGTTTCTGACGAGTTCAGGATCACTTACCTCATAAATAGGTCTCAGGTGATTTAAAAGTCAATGGTCGATAAAAAGTAGACACCAGGCCAATGATTGCAAATAATCTCACAACCAGAAGTCAAGGAGAATACCTCTTAGGTATTTATCTCATTGTACATTACAAGATGGTGAAGGTAAAGTCAGAGGTTCATGCTGTGTAACTCTTTGGAATTTTAGAGAGCTCCAGGAAGCTGGCACTCAGATCTCAGTGGGCATGAATCATTCCTGGAGGTTTGTATCATTCAAGCATAGTCAGATTACCTCTGTTACCTAATAAGCTTTGATTTGCTCCTGTGATGAGTCATACACTTCAAGTCTCTATCATCTTCCCAGAGAAGGCTATAAGAAAGAGAAACTAGGGGGAGGGGCTTGTGTATAGTGGTCTGGGATGGAAAGGGGATATGGGTTGACCTCATCATAGCTTTGACAACAAATAATCTTTAAACAGAGATTGAGAAGTGCTTGCTACAAATTAAATGGGCAAATTCCCCACCCTCTGTTTCCAACCAATGCTTTAATTGAATGAATTCTTTTATTCTTTAGGCCATAAAGCAATTTTACCCGATTCTCTATTGTAGTGCAGTGAGTGAATACATTGGATGGGTTCTCTTCAAATAGCAGACTTGTTTTAACTTTAAAACATCGTGCAAAAAGTAAATGTGTCACATCAGTATCACCCAGTGATGGGTTGTCATTATTCTTCACTTTGCTGCTTCTGGTTTAAATAATTAAATAGGTAGTTTTCACATATTATGCTCTAGAAGATTTTGGGTTTTACCTTGGTAATTCTTTTGTGCAATTTCCTTTGATCTAGTTCACCCAGTAGTCACCGAACCTACAAGTGTCTTCTGTTATGCACAGGGTGAATTACTTACAAAATCACATGGTCCAGGATTTCATGCACAGAAAGTGGATCCTCATGTAGGGCTATGATGTTTGCATCGCATGATAAGAAGAAGGAAAGAAAGATCCAGTCCCAAGTCACTATATGAATATGTTTATGAATATGATCTAGTTCATTTTACTTAATTTGGACAATTATGATATGAAACCATTTTCATAGCACTGGAAGTGTCCTTTTATTTAACTTTAGCAACTTGCTTTAATATCTTGACAGGAGAAGTTTATATATGGAAATTCTACAATATGATTTTGAACAGAAAATGGTTTTATAAAGTGTGTATTATTTACAGTATTGTCACTGGGCATCTATGTTTCATCAATTCTTCCTTTTAGAACTCCATGTTTATGTAAATTCTCTGAATGACAAAGACCCTCATAGACAGAAGTATTCTGGTTGATTTTCTAGCCAAGTAGTCTAAGAATAGTTAGTCTTTTAAATTCTTCAAGTCAAATTACTAATGGGGCTTCTGCTAAGTCTGAGGCACTGTGCTAGGTGTGAATGAGCTGCTTCTACATCAATGAAGTTGACTTTGCTTTTAAGGAACTCACAATTGAGCTATGGTGACCACACTTGAGGGGAGAAATCCTATACTGCCAAAAAATTAGCAAGGGTGTAAAACAATGCTACTTAAAAATTAAGTAATTTTAAAAAGGAACTTACAACCTAGTGGGGAGAGAAATTAAAATGATGCACATAGGTATTTATCAATATCTTAATAGAAAAAATAATTCTGGGAGAGTAGATTAGAGTCCTTTATTCTTTTCCTATTTTGTCCCACTTTTTGCAATCACCTAACCAGGAACAACCCTCGCAATGGCATCCTTAATGCCAAAGGCTATATTTATTTACCAGTGAATCCCAATATCTAACCCAAAGCCTGGCTGGTATGTAGTGGCTCATATTTGATTGAAATGAATGGAACTGAATCCAGTTGAATGGGATAGAATTAGTTGTTTGTCTTTATAGCCCTAAGAATTACATTTGTCAAGTACTTTGGACAATTCTCACCTAATATTTACCCAGCTATTTGATATAACTGTTTTTCTTTTTTCAGCTGAATACAATGTATACTAACAGTGACCTGAAGCTGCATTTTCTCTGTCTCCGAGCTACTCTGACAATCTGTTCTGTGTCTGAGCCAATTATTCTTAACGGCATTAACTGTTGTCAACAAATTTTACTGAGTTTCCTTTATGTCCCCTGAGATTTGCTGTGTGTGAAGATATCAACTCTAACCATTTATAGTTTTGGAAATACATTTTGAGTAAAGCCGTTTCCCCTGCTTCTCCCCTCTCTCAGTTGCCTCCTGTTATTGTTTTTCTACTTGTTTTCCTAGTTCATGGTAGCTGTGTCTTTTATTTTAAGCTGCTTCAAATTTATTTTGAAGGTATGGATTTTTTTTTTTTAATGATGGAAGGCAGTGTCTGATCTTAGTCTGAAATTCGAATATCTAAAAGAAAATGGTTTTTAGATAGCTTTTTAGTCAAGACAGCAAGTTTAACAAGGAGGGTTTTATAATTTAACCCTCGTGAAGACAGAACTGTTGGGAATAAAATTGTTTTCCCATGCTTATTTTGCATAGATGGACCTACACTGTAAATGAACTCATATTTCACAAGAACATAGTAGAAGCAAGCTTCTAATCTAGTTTGTGAATATCTTCCCAGCATAAATGGAGCAGTTCCTCTATAATTAATGCAGCTTCCCCAGACATTTTATGAAATGAAAGTTCCAATGAAGAACTAATTACTGATTCTTCCCTATACATCATAGTAAGAGAGCCTATCAACCAGTTTTGTGATTTCATAGTCCTATGAGAAAAATGGTGACATAATGGAGGTAGCACTTGGGGAAGAGCTAGCTATTACCAAACTTACGAGGCCCTCATAGGGAATGGCTTGTTATAACCTCATTTTGTATGAAGCATAGCAAGAGGGAGAGTTTCAAGAGAAATAGGAGAAGTTAGGTTTGTCATAGATAGAATTTTTGACAGTCATGGTGATTAACCATTTTAGCATGTGCTTCAGGGCTTGTGGAGTCTCTCTCTTTGGAGATACTTTAAAAAATGATGGACACCAACCATCTTGGATGGTTCCAATTAAGAGCAACCAAAAAAAGCAGGTTTCTGGGGTCCTTTTTAGTTTTAAGAGTCTATAAACAGTCCCTTAAATAAACTGTATATGCTTTACCTCAGCGGTCTGGGAAAAAGGAGAAGTAAATCAATTAGAAAAGAAAGTTGGATTGCCTTTCGGCTGTTCCAGATTTATAGCTTTTGTAAAATGTAGTTCCAGTACATAGTTATTGAGAACAGGTCTGGATGAACGAACAGCATTCTTCATGGATTTCGTAAAGAGTCGAAGTGAAACTTTGCAATGAATTTCATTGCTTTTGATTGCAGTAACCTTCCTAGATCTAGGTTACTACTATTAACTCAAGTTCCTTTCATTTGAAATACAGTGCTAAGAAAACTATTCCCAGACCTGTCATTCATTAGCTGTATGACTTTGGCAAGCATTTAAGGTTCCTGGGCTGAAATGTCCTTGTCTATAAAACAAGGGGATTTTGTTGAAGTAAATGACCTCTTCTAACTTTAACAGACTCATAGTCTGGGTTGTAATTAACAAGGACTTGGTACTGTTCAAGGAAGAAGAACCTTGGATTTAAATAGTACTCAAAGAACATTTAGTCTCCTTTATCTTCTTTACATAGTTTCTATTCATCCTCAATGATAGATGATTCCACCTACTCAAAGAAAACAGAGCCAGCTTCATTGGGGATTTGTTTGTTTGCTTGTTTGTTTGTTTTAAGCTTGGGTTCCAACCTTTCACGGATGGAATGGAAGCTCAGACATGACCAAAGTCACGCAGGCCATCCAACCACAGGAGCACATACCTCATGCAGACACATTGCCATTTCTTTTTGCTGGGAATAGTCAACCAGCATCACTCATCGTTACATTTGTTCCCTCTCTTGAGCAGCAAGACAAGAGAATAGGTCGTTTTTTAGCATCCTTTTTTAATAGAGGGGACAATTAAGAACCCATAGGTTTCTAAATCTTGACCAAAATTGATACCTACTGCCTTTCCATTAATAAATAAGAGACTGTTCAATTTCAACCTTCAAATATACCTTTCCCCAGGACTAGTACTGCTCTGC